AGAGAGCGCGTTTCACGAACGCTTGCCTTGGGAACATTCCGAACCGGGAGGGGGCCTCCCCCCAACACTCGGCACCGTCGATCAAAACCAGGGGGGCTCCCCTCTCCCTCAAGCCCCCCCCCGCCCGGAACCGCCCCCTTCCGGAGGAGGGTGGCGCGGGTGGTTTCAACCCCCCCCCTCGCGCCAGCCCGGCGCGGCGCTGGCGGCCGCGGCGCTTGAGCGCCCACGGCGGGGGACGCAGCGACGGTGGACCGAGGCAGCTTAGGGGAGGGGGGTTCGAACCCCCCCCCCTGCGCCGACGCTGGCGCTGGCAGCGGCCAGCACCGCCGGCGCGGGCGCTGGCGACGGCGGGGACGCAGCGACGATTACCACCACTACCGCCGCCGCCACCACTACCACCACCACCGCCGCCTCAATCCACCACCACCACCACCACCACCAACAGCACCACACAACCACCACCACCACCACCACAGCCACCACCACCACCACAACCACCACCACAACTCACCATCACCACCACCACCACCACAAAAACCCACCACCACTACCACCACCACCACAATCTACCACACCACCACCACCGCCATAACCACTACCAGCAACACAATTCACCGCCACCACCACAAACCACCACACCCACTACCACCACCACCGCCACCACCACCACAACAAACGTCCACAAACCACCGCCACCACCACAAACCACCACCACCACAAACCACCACCACACCACCACCACACCACCGCATACACCACCACCACCACCACCACCACCACCACCACCACAACTCACCATAACCACCACCACCACAAAAACCTGCACCACTACCACACACCCCACCCCACACAATTTACACACCACCACCCCGCCACAACCACCACCACTACCAGCAGCACAACCCACCACCACCACCGCAAACCACCACACCACCACCACCACCGCCACTACCACCACCACCACCTCCACAAACCACCGCCGCAACCACAACCCACCACCACCACAAACCACCACCACACCACCACCAAACCGCCAACACCACCACAACAACCCACCACCACCACAAACCACCACCACGCCGCCACCAAACCACCACCACTACCATCACCACCCACCGCCACAACCACCACCACAACAAATCACCACACCACCACCATCACAACCACCACCACTGCCACCACCACCACCACCACAACCCACCACCACCACCACCGTCGTCCTTTGAAGCTCCCCGCCACCGCCGCCCGCCGCCGCAGGCGCTGGCCGGCGCCAGCCCACAAATGGAAATCGTCGTCCCTGGCGCCGTCGCCAGCCGCCGCCGACGCAAGCGCCAGCCCGAGGAGAGGGGAAGCAAAGGGGGGAAGGGGGGGAGGGTTTGAACCCCCCCACCCCCTCCGTCACTGGAAGGGGTGGTGGGTTGAAACCCCTCCCCCCCCCTCCGTCACGGGAGGGGAGTGGGGGGGGGGTCGAACCCCCCCCGCCTCCATCCAGGGGAAAGGGGGGTCCGGTTCCCCCCCTCCCTCCAAGCGACCACAGAACACGCATTTGCGGTAGTAGTAGTAGTAGTAGTAGTAGTAGTAGTAGTAGTAGTAGTAGTTGTAGTAGTAGTAGTAGCAATAGAAGTAGGAGTAGTATGGATAGTAGTAATAGTAAGTAGTAGTGATCGCAGTAGTAGTTTGTCGTAGTAGTAGTAGTTATTGTTGTCTAGTAGTAATTTGTAGTGTGTAGAAATATCAAGTAGTAGTAAAAAGTAGTAGTAGTAGTAGTAGTAGTAGTAGTAGGGTAGTAGTAGTAGTAGGAGTAGGAGTTAGTTGTTGGAGTAGTAGTAGTAGTAGTATAGTAGTCGTGTGGTAGGAGTAGTAGAAGTAGTAGTGTACGTGTAGTAAGTAGTAGTTAATAGTTAGTAGTGAGTATCGTAGTAGTAATCGTAGTTAGAGGTAGTGCTGCAGTCGTAGTAGTCTAGTAGTAGTAGTAGTAGTAGTAGTAGTATTGTAGTAGTAGAAGTAGAATGTAGTAGTAGTAATAGTTAGTAGTAGTAGTAGAAAGTAGTAGTAGTGGTGTGGTAGTAGTAGTTATGTAGTAGTAGGTAGTAGTAGGCTAGTGTAGTTAGTTGTAGTTAGTAGTAGTAGTTGTAGTCGTAGTAGTAGTCAGTAGTAGTAATAGTAGTAGTAGTGGTAGTAATAGTAGTAGTAGTAGTAGTAGTAGGAGAAGAAGAAGAAGAAGTAGTCGTAGTAGTAGTAATAGTAGTAGTAATAGTAGTAGTAGTAGTAGTAGTAGTAGTAGTAGGAGTAGTAGTGGTAGCCGTAGCCGTAGTAGTAGTAGTAGTAGTAGTAATAATAGTAGTAGTAGGAGTAGTAATAGTAGTAATAGTAGTAGTAGCCGTAGTAGTCGTAGCAGCAGCAGTGGTAGTAGTAGTAATGATAGAAGTAGTGGTAGTAGTAGTGGTAGTAGTAGTAGTAGTAGTGATGATAATAGTGATAGTACGTGGTAGTAGTAGCAATAGGAATAATCGTAATTCCACCCACCCACTCCTCCCAGCGACCACAGAACGCGCGTCCTTGCAGCAGTAGTAGTAATAGTAGTCGCCATCGTCGTAGTAGTAGTACTAGTAGTAGTAGTAGTAGTTGTAGTAGTACTAGTAGTACACGTAGTAGTACACGTAGTAGTAGTAGTAGTAGTAGTAGCAGTAGCAGTAGTAGTCGTAGTCGTGGTGGTAGTAGAAATCATAATAGTAGTAGTCGTAGTCGTAGAAATAGTAAATGTAGTAGTAGCAATAATAATCGTAGTAGTAGTCGTGCTAATAATCAGGATGATAGGAGGACATATCATAAGGCAAAACTAATAGCAGTCGTAGTAGTAGAGTAGTAGTAGTAGTAGTAGTAGTAGTAGTAGCAGTAGTCGTAGTAGTAGTAGTAGTAGCATGGTTCGTAGTAGTAGTAGTAGTAGTAGTGGTGTAGTAGCCGTGGTAGTAGTAGTAATAGTAGTAGTAGTAGTAAAAGTAGTAGTAGAAACAATGGTTTTAGCCGTAGTGGTGATAGTGCGTCGTGGCACTAGCCGTAGTAGTAGTGGTACTAGCCGTAGTAGGGGGTAGTAGGGAGTAGTAAGGAGTAGTAGGGGGTAGTAGGGAGTAGTAGGGAGTAGTAGGGAGTAGTAGGGAGTAGTAGTAGTAGTCGTAGTCGTAGTAGTAGTAGTAGTAGTAGTAGTAGTAGTAGTAGCCGTAGTAGTAGTAAAGTAGTAGTAGTAGTAGTAGTAGTAGTAGTAGTAGAAGTAGTAGTAGTAGTAGTAGTAACAGTATTCAGAAGAAGTAGTAATATGAACGGAAGTATGGGTGGTAGTACTAGTAGTAGTAATAATAGTGGGGGCCGTAGTCGTACTAGTAGTAGGAGTGGTAGTAGTGGATGTGGAAGTCGTAGTACTGGTGGTAGTGGTCGTAGGAATAGTAGTAGTGGTAGTAGTAGTAGTAGTAGTAGCAGTCGTAGTTGTAGCAGTAGTAGCAGTAGTAGTAGTAGTAGTAGTAGTAGTAGTAGTAGTGCTAGTAGTAGTAGTAGTAATAGTAGCAGTAGCAGTAGTAGTAGTAGTAGAAGTAGTAGTAGTAGTAGTAGCAGTCGTCGTAGAGGAGTAGTGGTAGCAGCAGCAGTAGTAATCGTAATAGTAGCAGTAGTAGTAGTAGTAGCAGTAGTAGTAGTGTCGTAGTAGTCCTGGCGGTCGTAGCAATAGTAGTAGTGGTGGTAGTAATGATGTAATGGTAATCGTAGTAGTCGTAGCAGTAGCCATCGTAGTAGTAGTAGTAGTAGTGGCAATTGTGGCGGTGATGGTAGTACTAGTCGTCGTCGTCGTCGCACGAGCAATTTAAGTACATCGTAGTAGTAGTAGTCGTGGTCGTCGTAGTACTAGTAGTAGTTCTTGTTGTTGTTCTAGTTGTTGTGCACGTAGTAGTGGTAGTAGCATTAGTAGTCGTAGTAGCAATAGAACAAGTAGTCGTGGTAGTAGTAGTAGTAGTAGTAGTAGGAGTAGTAGTAGTGGCAGAAAAGAAAAAGCAGTAGTAGGAGCAGCGATAGTAATAATAGTAGTAGCAGAAGTATAAGTAGCAGTAGCAGTAGTAGTAGTAGTAGTAGTAGTAGTAGTAGAAGGAACACTCGAAATATTAGTCACAAGGGTTTTGGTCGTAGTAGCAGTAGTGGTAGTAGTAGTCGTAGTCGTAGTAGTAGTAGCAGCAGCAGTGGTAGTAGTAGTAGTAGTAGTAGTAGTAGTAGTAGTAGTAGTACAAGTAGTAGTAGACGTAGTCGTAGTAGTAGTAGTAGTAGTAGTAGTAGTAGTAGTAGTAATAGTAGTCGTAGTAGTAGTAGTAGGGGGTAGTCGGGGGTAGGAAGGAGTAGTACTGCTAGTAGTAGTAGTAGTAGTAGTAGTCGTCGTAGTAGTAGTAGTAGTAGTAGCAGTAGTCGTAGTCGTAGTCGCAGTACTAGTAGTCGTAGCAGTAGTCGTAGTAGTCGTAGTAGTAGTAGTAGTAGTAGTAGCAGTAGTAGTAGTAGTAAGACTAACAGTAGTAGTAGCAGTAGTAATAGCAGTGGTGGTGGTGGTGGTGGTAGTAGTAGTAGTAGTAGTAGTAGTAGTCGTAGGAGTATTAGGAGTAGTAGTAGTAGTCGTAGGAGTACTAGGAGTAGAAGTAGTAGTCGTCGTAGTAGTAGTAGTAGTAGTAGTAGTAGTACGAATAATAATAGTAGAATTACTATCACTAGTAGTCCGTAGCCCTCTTGGCTCAAGGCCATGCATTCCCAGCGGGTGGAAGTCACGTTGCGGCGCTGCGAGCACTCTGGGGGAGTGCTGGCGGAGCCAAAACCCTCTTTCACGATTCAGTGCGATCAAGTCTGCTGCCCCAGTCCTCGCGCGCTATGGCCAGCCATGGGCGCGGTGGCGCCGAGGGAGCAGGGGTTGTGCTCCGCGGGCCCAAGTCACCGCTGTGGCTGTGATCCCGCGGCTGCGCATCCAACTGGGCCAGCAGGCTCAGGTGCCGAGAGTGCGACAGGCGGTGCTCCACCAAGGTCGAGGACGCCGCCAGGAAGGCTCACAAGGAGGCGCTCAAGGGCGGGCCCAAGCCAGGCAGCCACCCGCAGCCCCGAGGTGCATGGGCGCAGCAGAAGATGGCCCCTTGGGAGCACGACAAGCCCCAGAGGCAGGACAGCGAGCTGGCTGCCCTGCGGCAGCAAGTCGAAGCGCTCAAGGCCGACAGCGCCAAGGCCAAGCTCACCGCACTCAGCGACCTCAAGGAGGAGCTGCAGAAGCTTGGAGGAGGAGAGCAGGCCGCGAGCTGCGTCAAGGCCGTCGAGGCCAAGTACTCAGAGCCGCCCAAGCCCAAGAGCCTCCAAGCCTTGGATGGGGCAGCGCAGGAAGCTCGAGGGCCAGCTCCAGAAGGCCCTCGCCAAGGTGGCGGAGCTCGAGGACCAGCGCGGCAAGCTCGACCAGCGGATCTGCGAGGCCAAGGACTCGGCCGCCGAGCTCAAGTGCAAGTTGCGGGCCGTGGACGCCGAGATCGAGTCCCGCCATGCCGCTGGAGTCCTCGGCGATGGGCTCAGGGGCTTGGCCAAGGTGCTGGAGCAGTTCAAGGCTACGGCTGCGGAGAACCAGACAGTGTTGCAGGGCCTCATCCAGCTGCAGGACGTCGTCCAGAAGGAGCAGGAGACCCTGGAGGCAGCTGACGGCACTGCACCTGGCGATGGCAATGGCGATGGCGCTGCTGACCCAGGCAGTGGGGATCCACACGAGGGTGTCCCTGGCAGTGTGCAGGGTCAGGGGGGGTGTCTGTCCCCGTCCCTGACGAGCTTGTCGACAGTCTCATGGGGGACGCCCCAGAAGGCGAGAGCGTCGAACAGCGGCGCAAGCGCTTCAGCGACATCATCGAGGCCCAGCTCAAGCGGCCTCGGGTTTGATAGCATGTGGCTCTACACTGTCAACGCGAACGCCGAGAAGGGCTACCGGGACTTCCTCGACTGGCTGGACAGCCAGCACAGCCTCGCGGAGGCTGGGTCGAAGAGGTGGCCAGTCGCAGACATCGCCTTCGTGCAGGAGACGCGCGCGCGTGCATGTGGCAGGGAGGCAGTCCAGCGTTGGCATTGGAAGCGCGGCTTCGACTTCGACCTTGCCGCAGGATTCAGCACGGGAGACGGGCCCCAGGCCGTCTCAGGCGGGGTAGGCATCGGTGCGCGGCAGCGGTTCGCGGCAACCACGCTCGACACCGCTTTCAAGCAGCCCCGCCGCGTGCTGCGACGGGTAATCAACATTGGCGACGGGCTCGCCATCGATCTCATGTCCATCTACCTCCGTGACGGGGAGGGCATGGGCGAGGCCAACGCAGACATCCTCTGGGAAGTTGCGTCGCAGCTCAGGGTGGCGGTGCGGCCGTGGATCCTGGCTGGCGGCTTCAACATGGACCCCCCCAGGTCGCGGCGCGGGCGGCGACGGCTGGAGGGCTCGCGCTACGTGCAGGGGCGGCGACCTGCAGGGCGGGGGCGCTCAACGAGCTCGACTACGCGGTCATCTCCGACGAGCTTCAGCCGTTCGTGTTCAGCCACGGGCCCGTGGTCGAGGCCCCCTTCGGGCCACGCAGCCCCGTCCTGCTGGAAGCGCGAGGGCTGCGTGCAGAAGCCACGGCGCAGCAGCTTCATCGAGCAGCGAAGCTGGCAGCGGGCAGGCAACAGGCTCGCAGGCGAGGCAGCGAAGGAGGGAGCGAAGCTGGCGCTGGGCGACGACCAGCTGAACTTAGCCTGCGACCTCGACCTCATCGCGCGGCAGGCGATGATCTTCACGGGCAAGCTCCACGCGCGCATGGCGGATCGGAAGCTGCTCGACCATGCCAGCGACGTCATCCTGGAGTTCTCGGAGCCCGAGGCGGGCAACGAGGAGCACGAGACCAGCGGGGGCCACGCTGCCGAGGCCGCCTGGGGGGCTGCTGGCGCGGCGGCTGCGGCCCTGGCTGCTGCGCGGGCCTCGGCGGAGGGCGACGAGCCCCCTGCAGCTCGACGGCCTCGACAGCCGTGGTCGATCGGAGGCCGCTCAATCGTCGAGCGAGCCGTCGCGGGGCCTGGCGCGGACGGCGCCACCATGGTCCACTGCGTGAAGTGCCGCGCCTACGCCCACCAGCGCATGCAGGGCATCCTCGGGCCGTGCGGCTCCGGGGCAGGTCGTGAGCAACAGATCGATAGGATTCGCAGAGGGCTTTTCCCTGATGTGAGGGGCGGCCGTGGAGCCTGGCGCCTCGGGGAGCAGCTTTTTCCCTCCGGGGCCTGGCGTGCGAAATTCAGCC